ATGGAGTTACACAGATGTGGGCATCTACCAGGCAGGCAGGGTCTAATGAATGTCAACTGCATTGTGATAATTGTAGGATCGAATGTTTTCTAAACTTGACCCACAATGAGGAAATAATCCAGGAGATACCGGACAAACCATGGTACATCATCACACACAACGTGTCACCTCCATTAGCTGAGATTAGCCATGGTTTCAGGTATAGTTGCGTCGTACGGCACTCACACATGCACACACAAGACTTTTGCAACTTCACCTCACCTCACCTCACCCACTGAGCTCGTTCAGGAGGGATCAGTAGACTTCACCGCTGACCCGCAGAGAGAAGAAGAGCGGCCCAGTCCGCTCTGTCTCTCATTATCTGCCGCCTGGGCGTCAATCTAACTCCGGCCAGAGAAGAATACCTGTGTTCCCTTTGAAGTCCGTGCCTGACTACAGTAAATTATTAGCTTGCCTGCAACACGGCTCCAGGCCCTCAGGACACCCTCTGGCTGTTCCACTGTGGGTGCCATTACCTGTCATTTCAGTTATTGGGTATTTCTCACAGAGGCTAACGACGACGCCTCGCTCTATCCGAGTTCATCCTCTCTGAGAGACGGTGGACGTGGGTGAGTTTACGTAGGCCTATAGGACAATAAAGAGAGAGAGAGAGAGAGAGAGAGAGAGACGGGGAGGGAGAGAGAGCAGCACAGCAACTCAGATTAAATAGCCAACATTCCTTTAAAAGGAAGAGAAGGTAGCCTTTAGGCTCCAGACAAGCCTGCACTTGTAAAATGTGGAGGGAGAGAGAGAGAGAGAGAGAGAGAGATGACAAGTGCAGTGCTCCTCTAGTCTAGCAGAGTGTAACAGGAAGTGGCAGGGCCCTGCTTCACATGGGGCCTCTGGGGTGCAGCAGCGTCTGGCTGGGAACGCATCACAGTCTCGGAAACCGCCAGCTGCAACGCCCTTAACACACATGCGGGCAACCGTCTAGCAACTAGCAAACCGCCTCGTTGATAAAACGTTACTGTAATTATGAGTATGGTCATGCTTGCAGACTTTAAAAAAACAAAAAAAAAAACAGGGGAGTGAAAGCCAGAGGCACAAATAAGTCAAACTGGTCCGGCAACATGGCATAGAAAAGCGAAAAAACGTTGTTCTATGCGGAATTAATGAAAAAATCTCAGTTTACTGGCAAGCTCAACCCACACTGCCCCAGCCTCCTATCTTTAGTTAATGACTGCATTGAGATAATGAAGCCGCACTAGATGTACAGTAATTGCAGTTTCCTGTGAGCACAGGAAACTCTCGCCTATTCTGCAGAGGCAACGTCCTCTGTTTCACAAGGCAAAAATCATCATGGATAATCAATTATACGCAGACACTAATTACGGAACACTGTCTGGACTGAAACCCACACTCTCTGGGCTCATCAGATGAGTTGTAGGCTGTAGGAGAGGAGGGAGGGAGGGAGGGAGGAAAAGGAGGAGAGAAAACTGGGAGGGTCTCGTGTCATACGTTCCTATCGTGCAAAACAATCAGTGTTGACAAATAAATAAGAGGAAAACGAAATGCTTTCTCTGGCACTGATGTTGAATAAGCCTCTGTAATCACCGCGAGGAGAGCCCTTTGTTTTCAAATTGACAGAGCAGAAAACAACCAAAAACATAATTTAAGAAAAAAAAAAAAAAACACACAAGCAGGTTCATATTGTATAACTATAATTCCCTTATGAGGAAACAAACCACAGAACTTCTAGGATAAGTGTCAGCAGGACACTCTTGCAAAGACTATAAGAATACATAAAAAACGTCCCAAGGTCCCCGGCTATAAACTCAAATGACACTGCATGAGCCGCTGTGCGAATATTAAAGTGATTTGTAGTTTGGTAGAAGACCTAAACGAGACAAGTCGTAAAGTCCTTGATGGCTTTGCCAGAAAATTCACACGGGCCAACTCTGCTACCTGAAGTTGTTATAACTAATTCAAACACATACTTCAAGTTTCCTAATGAATGTCATGTTTGCTCCAATGCAACATTCATGAACCAACAATGTTAAAATAAAGCATTATGTATGTGGACGCTACCGTTTGCACCTCGAGCTGCGGAGGGGGGGGGTTGAAGAATACTCCGTTTCTCTCGGTAAAAACAAACATCCATGACGACTTTAAATAGTTTTACCAAACAAAGCTTTCAGAAGTTAAAACTCTGTATCGTGCTCGTCAGCGTTAGTGTTGAAATAACATACTTACCAGTGATTACAGAGGAAAAAGCGACAGCCGAAGCGTCAAATAGGTTTCCTGTTCCAAAGTTGCCGTGTGTCAGTGGGGAGAAAAGAAAAAAAAACATTGTATGCGGAAGTACACACAAAAAAAAGCAGCACAGGGAGATCAAACAACTGACGGCGGATACAAAGTAACGATTTGGCGTTTCAAAATAATGTGTCAGATAACAACACAGAAAGTGATTGCAATGTAACGTTAGTCGTACTCTTGTGCGTGTTTGTGTTTTACAGCTCGACTGTCAAAATTAAAAAAAAAAAAGTAACCCGTCTAAAACGGCTTGTTTCCGCACTGTGTTACACAGTAACTCGTCCCCATTCAGATCCTCACCCTGTACTGTGCTGAATATAAATATTTTATAAGCGTGATATTTACGCTTTTACGTGGTTTGTTGGCCTATTTTTTGAAGGCTACGTGTTAGTTTTCATGACATATTTGGTAAAAGTATGTCAAAGTGTTGTGAATGTTATTTGCACTTGACAACAACACGACTGTCCAACATTTGATTTTTAATAATTATTACACAATTTCCTCCATTAACTTAGTAGAAGCATGTCACATAAAGCTGACCTCTCCCTTATCTTCAGTGTTAATCTCTGATATGTCTGCAGCCAACAGAAAATTTGATTTATTTTTATATTCTCTTATTTGTGATCTCCTAAACAACCTGTATAAAGTAGGGCTGCCCCCTCTTAATTTATTTGTTTATTTATTTGATAAATAAAATGCACACAACACTGCGAAGCCATGAACAGATTACAGACCATAAAGGACATGTCCTTCATCAAAGCAACTGTTTACAGAGTTGATTGCCCAAATCAAACTTTACTACCTGCCCGCCACTACTTGCCTCACTGCTATTCTAGCCTCCTTGCGCCACCTCGTGGGGGAACACGTACATGCGCTATTCCCCTTCTCCTCTGAGGTTTCACTTACTGGACTGACCTCACAATTTGACCTGAACTCTCAAAGTAACATGACATAAAACTGCATGTCTATTTCGTAAACCCTTAAGGTTTTAACGTCACAACATTTGAGTTTCAAAGTTAAATATTGTTGACAAAACAGTCTCACCTCAAGCTCTGTATAATAATCTTCATCATAACCCGTTTTCATGAAATTGCAGATATTAAAATTTTGAGTACATTAAGGACTTCTTGACCATGTTGGCTTGAAATACAGTCTATTTTGGGCTTATGTCAATTTTGCATTACAGGTTGACACAGCAATGAAAAGTGTATGCTGCTATCTACTTATTTAAACCCAGGCCTGTAGTAAGGACTCAAACCTTAGATAATTTGCTGGCAAAATGTTAACACATGACAGCAATGGCCGTTGGGCTGAGAATGAATTGTGATATAAAGAGGACCTACTAGAGCATCTGCCTGCTTTCCCATCAGTTTACTCCTCATTGTTTGTATCATGGTCGTAACCTTGATTTATTCACACATTTCGAGTGGCCGCCGTATGGCGATTTAAGATTGTAGCTCTGATACTTGAGGACATACGGTCATAAGGTTGTTTCATTGACTGAGAGATCGTACAAACGTTCCTCGGCCGTGCCCTTCATGTTGAAACGGTACAAATCTACTTTCACTCTGTTTTTAGACCTTTGAAGTACGGTGTGCTGCTTTGAGGGATGTGTTCCTCACTCAGGATACAACATTTGCAGATGCAGACTCACTTGGATATGCATTCAAACTAGTAATTTCCTGATTGGTGGTGAAAGGTTTGATGTTTGCAAATGACAGAGACGGTGAAAATAAGGACACTGTTTTGTGTCTGCAAGTGTTGAATGAACTGCTGTGTGAATTAGAAGTATGGCAGACGCCTATAATAAAATGTAAAAATAATAAAATACAAGCCCAGAAGAGGTCCAACAGAGTTTGTAACGGTCAGCGGTTAAGTAATAAAATGTGTCGGAATGAATACCTTCTAAAGGTATCCTTATATAGGCTCCTTCTTTATGATGGCTCAGACTGTATTATTATTATTATTATTATTATTATTATTATTACCATTAATAATGTGTAAAATAGAGTATCTATTTTCACCAAATTGCTGTAACAGGAGTAAAAGCAAATCCTGAAAACATTACCTTTAATACACCAAAGTAGGAACAAGCAGCAATGTAAAAACACAACACTATTAGAATATGTTATATCTTCATCAGTCATTCTCTGATCATCCAATTAATGCTTTTGTTAATCAAATTAACTGAGGATAAAATATGGGCTGTTTTTAACAGAAATCCAACTCTATTTGCGAAGATGAAATCAAACTTTCTTAATATCTTTACAATGCAGCTCTTCCTTGATAATTACATTGTTTTTTAATAACTTTGTTTTTTTCATCAAAAATAAGCACAGTGAAGAAATAGTAAACACAATTCTAAACTGCCAGATATCAGCGTTCACATCTGAATTATTTACATTATAATTTACTAACTACAGGAGATATAAAGTGATCAGATAGAAAATGTAGTTTCATTCCAAATATTTAAATTACTGTGTTGTCCAAATTAATATGTATCTGTTATTATCAAGGTGTCTTTAATGGCATGAATTAAATGTGTTGGAATGCAATGAATTTCCAACATTATGATAGAAATTTACGTCACTAAATGAACCCATTCAACAAACTCACAGTCAACAACAGTCCACTATCCAGAATAATGTTTATTGCTTTTGAAGATATTAATCTTTTTCTTCTTTTTTGCACTTTCCATTTTTTCCTCTTTACAGTAAAACAAAGAGATGACAAGTAAAACCACTGCATTGTCATTTTTGGATGTGTACACACACATACACACACAAAGGAAACAGTATTTACAGCTGTAGGTTGGTGTACTCCACGCGGAGGTGACTGGAGGCCTTTCCTGTAGCAACAAACATAGAGCTTTACATTAACTTTACAATAGAGCTTTCACAACTAATCGTATACCGCCACTGTTTGACAAACCATAGGCTATAAAGGCTATGAAGCTGTACAATATTATGTGTTGAGAAACGGGCCGGAGGCAGGATGTTGGTCATTAGATCTGGGTAGAGCAAACATAAACAGTTTTTGAATATTTAATTAATTTCTAATGTCCTCAAGCAAAACCAATTGCCCTGCTGCTGGCACGGACAGAAAGCACTGATTGAAAAAAATAATCAAAACAGATTTTCGGGGGAGGATTTAAAAAAGAAAATGCAAAGACCAATATTATTCACATAAGACTAATTACAGTACAGTTACACCGGGTGAATGCTAACTATAAAAATAAGTCTACTGGCATGTTTTTTTTTAAGCCAAAGGGTTCGTAGATTGGGCATCTGGCAAAAATGACCAAAGGGCACAATTAATTGGGGTCGAGAATATCAGAGACAATTCCCAGTGTGAACTCTGTCCTCCTCATAGAAAAACATCTTCAGAGTGCAGATCGTCCTCCATTAATAATTTAAACTTTGATACACCTAAGCTTATAATTTTTCCAACATGTTTAAATACTGAATTAAATCACAACAATACAGCTAAATCTTATCATAGTGAATAATAATTAAATATAATGTACAACATAATAAAATATATACACTGAAATGTTCATACAAATTTCTAGGTTGGTCCAGCTCATTCTGCTCTCTTTTTCTTTCCTTTCAGAAAATGTGCAGGAAATACTTGAACCACAGGACAAAATAAATATTCACAGACTATCACAGTTGACACTATTCGAAATATGGATTTTAACATTTAAATTAACCCGCAACAAACAATATAAGTGCAAAATAAACTTAAGGGCAACAATTTCACTCACAGGATTACGGAGGGAAGATGATTTCATTTAAGGAGACATTGACTGAAAGGACCACTAGGTGGCAGTATTTGACTATGTCTCAAAAGTCACAGTGATTACATATGTATAGTCCAAATCTCAAGAATTACAGGGCAAATCTGTAAAATTGGATCGATCTGAGCATTATTTGTTGTTGTGTTCTGTTCGTATAGGGATGTTGTTTGTTAATGTTTGTCGAGGCAGACGCTGCTGTGTTGCAATTTACCACCTCACCGCCTTCTATCATAGCTCAGCCGCAGACAGCAAATTGTGGAGTACTGCATGCAACGTGTAAAACAAGTCTACAAACCATGGAGCGATCATTTGGTGCGAGGGATCAAAACAGAAAGGACAAGTTGGTGATACACACAGCCGATACCCCAAAAAAAACTGTACGCCACATATATTCTAAGATGGACGAGTCGGTAGTGTGATGGTCTGTAGGCAAGTTAAAAAAGTTACACAGCAAACAGGGAAACAGTCATTTCAGAAGTCAAGAGCACAACTGCCTTTTCTGGATCTACGGAGAGTGAATTTAAAGTAAAAAAAAAAAAAGTGTCTGAGGGAAAGAAAGGAGAGAAAAAGAGAGTTATCACAGTCTGGCAAGATGGTGGACGCGAGAGAAAATGTATTAGCTGTGTATCATTTTGAGAGTCTCTGTCTCCTTGTGTCTGTCATGCAGAGCCACAGAGGGGGAACGTGATGGAGGCTGGGACGGGGGTGGCGGACTGATGGGCATCAGTCTCTTCAGGGTACGTGGGGACACTGTCGGGGGGAGAGAGGAGATGGGTGGCAGCACGCGCCCTTTCTTTCCATCCAACACTATCTGTGAGCGGTTCCCCAGCCTGGATTCCTTCCTGATGCCGAACTCGTGCTCGTTTTCGTTGTCAGAGCTGGAGTCGCTCAGATCTGTGATCTCCAGGTCTGAGTCTGACTCCGGGTCCAGCTTCAGCCCTCCTCTCTTCTCCGTGGGGCTCTGCCGGTCTGTCCCTGTCCCAGTTCCTAGGCCGATGGCTCCCAGCCCCAGACTCAGACCTGTGCCCGCAGGATTGGCCTCCGCTCTTTCCCGTTCCCCCAATGACGCCCCGTTGCCAATGTCCGTCCGACCCATTGACAGGCTCCCGGGGAAAGGTGGCATGATGAGTCTGACCGGCTGACCACCCGCTGTGCCGTTTGTCCCTCCGGTTTGCCCCGCTGCTCCCCTCTCACCCCCACCTGCCTCCCCTGGGGTGAGCAGGGAGGAGAAGGGGTGAGGCAGCTGGGAAAGGCCGCTCTGCAAAGGGTTGGGGTAAAACTGGGAGGGGTAGAGGGAGCCAGGGGGCAGTTTGGGGCAGTTATTGAGGGAGAAAGCCCCTGGGAGGTAGGGGTTGAAGCCCCAGGGGTAGTCGAAGGGTGGGTTGCGAGGGTACGGGCCCAGCAGTGACGGGGGTTTTGTGTAGCACGGTGCACCTAGGACAGAGAAAATCCAGAGATGGAGGTTAGCTCTCAGAAGGGCCAAAGGTTTCTTGACTTACAACATCCAAGAATGTTCACTAATTATGCTCATCGGTATTAGCAATTCTAATCAGAAGCCACAGGGGCCAATTCTGGCACGGCTGCTTTCAACAAAAAAAAAAAAACCTGATGGTTCATTTATGCATGCCAGTACTGAGATGTACACCCACTTCACACTGCTGACAGCCAGATGTGAACACAAAGATTCTGCACTGCAGTGAAAGATAAGCGTCTAATAAAGCAGAGTTTACATCTTCCAAACACTGTATTATCCAATTTTGTATGTTAAAAAAGGAGGCGGGTGGCCACACATCATCTCGGTGGTGACAGTCACCTAGTTGCAAAATGTAGCGGAGAAATAAAGAATGCAGGTTAAGTAGCTGACGGATTTCTCCCCCCCAACGTTTTGACATGTCACCGTATCATTTTAGATTAAGCAAAAATAAAAATAAAAAACATAAACTGTAGCAAATTAAATATAGCACCGTATTTGTTTTCAGGTCCTGGTGAGCATCACTTGATAACAGAACATGGTGGTAAATTTGAGGTGATGCTAGAATTGAGTTTTAATGAACAAACCAAAGCATTGCCTCTCCACATTCTGTACCTCCTTCCAACTGACAACCAACTTAAGGATTCTCTCTCTCTCTGCTGCACCCTCCACCTCTCTCAGTCTTCCTCGCTCTCTCTCTCTGTTATTTACTATGCAGGGCTAATTTGACAGTGGTGGTGTCTCTGCGTGCTGGGCCAGGAGTAGCTGGCAGACACATGAATATTGAATCAGTCAGGCAGGCCTCACTTGCTTATGAAAACACAGTAATGGGCGCCCACAGGCCACAAACTGAAGCCTGCACCCTCAATTAGGGCCTTCCTGCCTGGGAAGGGATTAGGACAACAGGGACACATGGGAGGGAGAGGAGGGTGAGAAGGAAAAAAAGGGGGGAATAGGACCTGAGGACAAACAGAGTGGGGAAGGATGGGAGAGGGGGGGGGGGGTGCGTGTGTGTGTGAGTACATCTGTTTACGCACTGCCTCGCTAGCTCTGCACATTCATACACATTCTGATGCACATGTAGAGTGTGTAGAAGTACAAAGGCAGAGCATTAACGCACGAATACTGACAATTAGGCAAACGCGCACAAATCAACGCTGCGTTCATTGACGCCTATATATGCAGCGAGAGAAGAGGACAAATGAGGAGAATCCTGCTGGAAAGGTGGACGATTCTCTCCGGCTTTCACCTCGTTTCTTACCGCAGCTGAAATGCATAATTCACAGGCCAACCTGGCATTTCTCACCTGAAGCATAACCTCACAGCGGGCTGCGATGGGACAGCCATCTCTCTTATTTCCTTTAACAATAAATGTTCATGCCTCCCCATATCCTCATTCCTCTCCTCTTTCCCTCTACCTTCTCTTCCTCCCTTTGTTTAGGAAGGTCTGTTTGCTGCCTATACCGCCTCATGCTCCCTCTGTTCCAGCTATCTTTCTTCTCGTGGAAAAAGTCTCTGGGATACAGAAAGATTCCTATTTTTGCTCTGGCACTTTTGACTAACTTTTTTTTGGGCTCACCTGTACTGAGGAAGGGGAATGCATCCAGTCTCAGCTTGTCTCCTTCGGGCCCTGGTGCCGTGGTCCCTCGATCAAACAGGGACGTTCCCCTGCCAGAGTCTGGCAAACGAGGAAACAGAGACTGTATCGCCTGAGACAAAGAGGGGCAGAAAAAAAGAGAGTGGAAAAATGATTTAATTAGTGTGTGTACTTCTCAAATAGAGCGCACGTATTGCTACAAATCCCCCCTTATGGCAGGGTGCTGCTGTCAACGTATGACTTTACACTAAACAACGCAGCAGCGCCCGGCAGAGTGTGATGCAAACAGTGACAGAGTTGCAGCAAGGACAGGATAAAAAGGGGTGTCATGGGACTCGGGGTAAAAAGGGAGGTAGGAGGACACAGAGGCTCAGAGACTTAAAGGCAGGAAGAGTACAGAGTCAAATGGAGACCAGCGATTAAGATTGTGGGCACAAAGGATAAATGACGGGGAGAGAGAGGGATTGTGGGCCTTCGTCCTGCATGAAGGGACACAGGACGAATAGGACTGAGATCTGAGAGAATGACATACATTCAGGATGTAGGGCAGCTGTGTGTGTCTGTGTGTGTGTGTGTGTGTGCTGATTTATTTTTTTCTGTGTAAAGTACGTGAAGGAGAAGGAGGCAAGGTAAAATAAATGGAACACTTGAATCTCAGGAATCAAGGGGACAAAGGGGGGATTTTTTCCCCCCCGAGCAGGACTTTGGATCAATAGTATCTGTCACCCCGCAGCCCCAAGTTTGAAAGGCGAGACTGTACTCCCAAGCTGCAAGATCTGCGTTGCTTAACAAACCGCATTAATGACCCGCCATTGATCTGATCTGACGCGACCCCTTTGCTTTCCATTTCTTTCATTTTCAATCGATGACAGATGGATACGCCATCGGAGACGGATGAGAGAAGGAGGGGATAACGTCTTCTTTTGTTTTAAGGACAAGTTAAAACCGTCCTCCTCCACCGTCTCCTTCAAAGACTGTGTCTCATCCCATCTTAAGGGTAGCGCGGACACATGATGAATGATTCTCTCTTACTGTACTTTCAAGTTACGTGCACTTTCTAGGACATTAGTTGTTTGAAATTAAATTATCTGCACACACTGGCACACAAAAGAAAGACAGTTATGTGCGGCTATACACTAAAAATGGTTCATTGTTTTATTTTCTCTTAATATCAAATCACTTTAGAAGACCCACAAGTAAAGTCATAACATTTTTTACCAAAAACTGTGTTCTGATACCATTTACCTCTATAACAATTTTAAAATCTCTCAGGGCAATTAGTAAGTATTCTATTAGGATCACCATTAGAGACAATGAGTAAAAGATAGACGCGATGACTCGCACAGAACGCACAGCAGGGCCCTGAGAAATACAACGGCAAAATCACTTGAGTGAAATGGATTTCAGTTATCTGAATCAAATTACTATTAATAAAAAATTAAGGAGTAGAGCACTATGTCTTGCTATTTCTCCATCTTTTTTCTTTGTTCCGGTTTTCTCTAATTTTTAATTCTCTGTGCGTTAAATCAAATATGGTTATGATTTAGATTTCTGTCTGTAGGCATCTCATTTTTTTTATGTGTCAGACTGTGAATTTCTGTTCATTTTTTATATGATTTACACATCATTTATCTTATAAAATACATCCCTCTACCAATCCCACCCACTTCCAGCCCCTTCATCCTACCCTCTGTACCTCTGGGCTGCAGTCTGGAGCGGTGGAGCCCCCGTTGAAGTGGTTCTGGGCCAGAAAGAAGGGAGAGTTGGCCATATCCAGAAGGGGGTAGTTCACCAACACGACCTTACTGAAGTTAAACTTGTAGGTGAAACGCTTCCCTTTGGTTTTATGCAAAATGCGCTTGTTGTAGTAATACCTGCAAAGGAGAGGGGAGGAGAGGATAGAGTAGGAGGGATGGAGTGGGGGCATAAAGGATGAAGGAAAAAGGAAGAGGAAAAGGAAAAGAGGAGGGAAGGATTAATATAATGCTCGCATCAAGGTTTTGTGTCTCATCGCTAACAGAAACGAATAAGTAAACAACTTCAGCGCTGTAGGACAAGAGCTACGCTGATTTCCCACTGTTTTTATTCATCTCCTCCTTACTCAAATCAATTCATGTCTGCCTGCATTGATTCAATACAATATGGTTCTTTAAAGGGAAATTTTATTCAGCTGTTACCAGACAAAAAGCCAAAAACCAGAATCCCTTTGAGCCTCAGATACAGTCAACATTAACACACAAACAACAAAGGAAGATACTTCTTATACTTATATCAATTTAAAAAAAGATATGGGTGTTAGATTATGGTATAATATGATATGGATTATGGCATTAAAATAAATGAAAAGATAATATCATGATCCTGAAAAATATTGGTGTCTCAAAATGAGAAACCCGGCGCATTTCTAATTAGTAAAAAAACAGATTTTATTCCGAAACAAACAAGTTTTCATTGTTGAAGTGAAAAAAATTTACTACATTTTAGGGTAAATATAGTATTTATGGAATTCATCAGAAGCAGTTTGGACTCTGAAACATGATATCCAACACAGGCGACGCGTAAATGTAAACGACACTCAGAAGCTGCCAAAACCAGAAAAGCACATTTACAGAGACAGCAAGAGAAGTCTCCACGGTAGCGACCTCAGGTGTCTCCCGCTGGGCGTGTAGAGCCGTCGTCAAGCCTGTTTCCTGTGCCACCCACTTAGGTGTCACAACGTCTGCCAGGATGCAAGGTTGATCAACGGTAAAGGCAAAACATGGAGCCATCTGGCTCAGGTAAAGGAGCTCAGGTGGAAGAGCACGGGGGGGGTGCCGCTAATTGAAAACCGTACGGATGTCTCATCGCAAGCTAGAACTTTAAATCTCGGACGCCATTTCTTTGAGCACTTGCATTTCTTTGCGTTGAAGTGACCACGGCGAGTGCACCAAATACAGAATGCATTAGACCACCTCAGCATTAAATACTGGCGATCAACGCCTCATTATGCAGACGCACGATATCAACAAACACAGCAGCATGTAAGTATCAGCATGTATCCACAGTGGCTGCGCCCGGTGCAATGATGTGTATGTGTTCTGCTTTGTGTGGCAATTGTGCCGTGGCACTTAATTGAGCAATTAAGTGAGGCTAATTAAGAAGGCTAATTGTGGCCCCAGCCAATTCATAACAATTAGACTCTGACGACAGCCCCCATTAACAAGAGGCCAAAGGAAAGCAGAGGGAGGGTGGGGAACAAGTCGGGGTAGTGTGTATTTGCATAAGAAAACTGTGTGCGGTTGGGGGTGTAAAATGCTGAAGGTACGGAGTGCGAACGGTATTATTTTAATCACCTTCGGCAAGTTCGGTGGCGAGCAGTTTCTCCGTTCTCTACTCTAAAGAAGTCCGAGCAATTTCAGACTGGGGCTTGATTTTAAAATCCGTATTGAATTTTTTATTTGGCAGCTCAATGGTGAACTTTCCATTAGGATGTCCACAGATAAGGAGAAATTGAGGGTATTGACGTTCCCCAGGAAAAGTCCCACCTTTATCTTTCCATTAAACCAACATGAAAGAGACAGACGTAAGTGGGGATTCAGCCAAACAAGAGTAAACAATTTATGTAAACCGTGGTGTGATAAACATCTTGACTCATCTGATACCAACAGTGTTATTGCTTGACATTCAGCACACCGTGTACAAATACATACCTCAGTGCCCTGCTCAGCTTGTCGTAGTTCATGTGAGGTTTGCATTTCCTGGCCCCCCACAACCGAGCCACCTCGTCCGGATCCTTGATCACAAACTCTCCATAGTCCCCTTGCCACACGATCACGCCGTTATACTCCTCCTTCTGCAAGAGCTCCAGGATGAAGTGCCACAGCTGGATCTGTCTGGACCCGGGGCTCGACTCAGGCTTGTAGGCCCAGTCTGGGAAGGCAATCCCTGGGCAGAGGGAGCAGGAAAGAGGGGAGGATGAGGTTAGGGCCTGTCATTTGTCCCGCCGCTTGCCGGGGGGGATCGCTGTCTGAATGACTGATGAGTGATGGTGGTGAGGGATGATGTGTTTAATATCACAGCACGTGCCTTGAGCAATGTTAGTCTGCGCTAATGCCCTCTAGCCTCAACAGAATGGTCAGTGGGATGATGACAGCTCGCTGGGAGAGATCTGATTGATGCTGCTCGGGCCGACTGTATGCACATCAGAGATGGAGTTAAGGAGCTTTTTGACTCATCCCACAGAGAATCTGGCACTAACTAGCCTTGTAAAAACATTACATATACAACCAATTACTACCAGAGACTCGATTTGTTTACCAATGTGCGTGGGTATGGTTATTTAATTTTTTTTATGAAAGTTTGAGATGCATTTTAATGTGTATCAATTTGATTTTCACGATGATGGTTATGTTTTATAATAACTGAATTTGCTTGTGTTGGCTGTCTGGTTACACTCAATTCTCACACGTGACCTGGGTCCAGATTTAGAGGTGTGTTTGAAGATGCCTGCACATGCGTGAGTATTGTTTTAATTTTACAAAATACATGACTTTAGGTAAACCAAACAAAGAAATTATACCCCTTCCATGAGCTTGGCGGTGGGACTGACCTGGCGTCCAGAGTGCAGGCACCGGGGGGAGCAGCAGATCACTGACGCAGTTACAGTCCATACCTCCACAACACCTGGAACAAAACAAAGAGAAGATACATATCTTTATACATGTATAAAAAACACTACCCAGCAAGTTTATTTCAGTGATTAAAAGTTGAAGTTGAAGAGTGTAAACTTTTTTGAAAATGTAGGTATTGCGTAAGGATCTAAGGGCGCAATAGGAGTTCAAAAACATACCTTAAATCGATGTGAAATATGGCAAGGTTATGTTTCATATGTCTTTGGTAGAGATAAGGTGTTTGATGGATGTGATCTTGTGTGGCCACCTGAGGCTGCGTCTGATGCAACATGGTGGACATCCCTATAGTGCCTTTATGAACAGGAGGAATTAAATAGACTTTTGAAAACCAAGTGAAAGTTGAACCATATTATACATTAAAAATGGGACATTTTAATACATGATATGGCGTGACTATTGTTTGGTCGAGTTTTTAAATGACAAAAATACATATAAAGTTAAAGATCTCTATCTGCATTCAGTCAGAAAGTTGTATTTCATGTCTGTTGCATTTGACGGCACTAGGTTTACTGAGCTGCACGTAATAAACTGGCAAGGGAGTATATAAAGTACTAGAAACAGCAAAGCAAAAGAACCAAATTAAAACTGAACTGGAGTACAGCGCTTTCAACTCATTCCACCACTGATAATATGGTAGTTTCTTAATAATATTCTAAAAAACTGAAATCTGCTGCAGGTTATATTATGTGACTAAATCAAATGATGTTGTTTCGTGAAAACTTTCACGTCTATGATAGTATAGATATTTTAGTTTTTCTTTTAAATAACTCAACAGTCATTTGTCACCATTCAATTTTACAACCACAACCGAGCAACACACCCGTGAAAGCACGAGAGCCTCAAACAAACTGTTGATTTGATCAATCCATCATCGCATTGCGTCACGGGCTACTTTTTTTTATAGGCGAGCAAGCTGATCCGAACACATCGCTATAGCAATAACGTGCAAATTAACTGACGGCTCGTAAGATAAAGTCTCGGAAAGAAACGCATGTAGACGTCTGCTGACAGGAGGAGGTAAGGAGGGCTTCCGTGACGAGCGAGGGGACGGTGAGATGTGATCCAGTTTGGATATCACAGTTTCATCAGGGTTGTTTTACAAAACTCAGATGGAAGAGATGCCCTGCTGCTACACTGGTATCTTTAATGCTGGCCTCTCTATCTCTCCCTTCACTCTCTGCCTCTATTTAATTATGCTCTGTGAATTTTGGATTTTCCCTCCAGCATTGAAATGGAACGTGAATTATTAAGGTGTGTTTGTATAAATTATTATTACTAACTCCAGGCATTTCTCTCTCTCTCTCTCTCTCTCTCTGACCGACTCTCTCTAACCCTCTATCTCTCGCTTGCTCTCACCCTGCTTCTAGCCTTTGGATTGTGGCCCCTCTCACTCTCTCACTCCCTCTCTTCATCTTTCTTGTTTTCAAGCCGCTCCTTCTGTCTTCAAATATAGAGTTGGCATTCATCCTATCTCACTCACATATATTTTTTTTCTCCACATCATTCATGTTATCATTTTTTATCTTTTTTTTTTTTTCTTTCCATCGGCCTTGTGTCTCTTCCTGCGCTCACTTTCCCGTAATGAGTCAAAGTTATCACCAGGGGTTCAAATCACAGCTATGTGTCTTCACAAAAAGCTCCTCATTTTCACGAGGGATTTTTCCACAAAACCATACTACACGTAGCCCGTTGGATCACTTTGAATTCAGTGTACCGGTAGGATATCAAAACACACATTGGCATTCGAACAATTAGAAACGTCTCTCTTTCAAAACACATGTCCTTCCATTAAAACTCGATACAAGCCGTACGTCGGCCTCAGCGGAGATTGGTAGGAGTCTTTAAAAAATAAGATATTCTTTGTGTTCGAGGTAGTAATCTATAAGTTCCCTCTTCCCTGTAGGCTACAGGTCATCAATACTGCATCATCTGTTTCATTTGCCGTGTTCTCATGGTCCACAGCATGTATAAGCTTTCACTCCTCCGAGGATAATATGTATATGTGTGTGCTCTGTGTGTCTGTCAGGGTCTCTCCAGCTGACTCTCATACTGCCTACACACCGCCTACATCTATATCCATCCTCCCTTTTCCTCTTCAACAGCGTAACTACACAGGTGAATCCTCCTTTCCTCTTTCCCACCTCCTTTCTATTCACACACACCTATCCACAGCCTGCTCCCCCGCCCCACCCATCCTCCTTTTCTCTCCTGCTCTGTGTGTTTTGCTTCAGCGCAGTAATTTTCCGTTTGATTTCGGAGGTAATGCATTTTTTACAAATCAAAGAGGAAGCCAGGCAGCCCCCCCCATCCTCCTCCTCCTCCTCCCCCCACCACCTCTCTTCCCTTCCCTCCTCCCCTCCCTCCCGAGTCTCTCGTTCTCGCCCCCCTCGGCCCCCCAGGCCAGAGAGGAGATAAAGGAGCCCCCATCATTTCCTTGTTAGTTTTGATTTGGGCAGCGCAGGGCTTTCAAGTTCCCCCCATCACCCCCAGAAACATTATAACTAGCAGCCCAGGGAATACTGTTCCTCATACACACACACTCTTACACACACATGCATGCACAGACTGTCAGATACAGATGCTCACAGATTGTAATGGATTGTACAAGCACAGTAAACACAGTCTCAAGCAGATATGCCACAAATATACAGGTATTCAGGTAGCAGACACACACACACACACACACACACACACACACACACACACACTCACAGTGAGAAGCAGCACACAAAATAAGACATGGAGCCCATAGATATTGACTGAATCAATATAGACACACTAACACACATCTCACCGAGCTGAAAGAGAGAATGCACTTTGTTTTCTAAAGATGGTAGTGATAGAGCACAGAAATGTGCGCCGACAGACACACACATGCAGCACAGAGCGACTGTGGACACAACAGCTCAAACAAAGGACCTCTCTCCCACAAAAGGCCACCTATAAAAACCCAGTCTGGATGATGGATCACACAGTTACCGGTGACAATAGTAAATACTTACAATAGGGGCGCATGTGGACAACAGCACCTTCACCACTCAAAAGGAAACCTCAGTTGTGCTCCTCCACATGTTGTGGAGGCCCACACTGTTTTTTAGCAAACACACATTCCTGCTGCAAACCCTCTGGTGTGTTGGTGAGTCAGTGGCTTTTGATAATTCACTCAGTTGAAAGAGTCGGCGGGTTTTAGGGACAGTTTTTCCCCGTGTATTCAGCACACTAGGAAGATGCAAGGACTCGAGGCTGGTCAAGGCTATGACAGGTTATTGTGCTTTTGCTCGATTTTCAAACAACCACACACAAAGTCTCCGAAAGGCCAAATCAGTGCGCATCTTTAAAAATCATCTTTAACGTTCCACTTTCTTCACAGTCTAGCTGCTAACTTTTCTCTGTGGTTTTCAGCTGGGCAGGGAGTGTAAACGAGGTATTTAAAGCTTCATCACACACTTCGTATGGCTGAGGGGAACTGAGAGTCGGGTGTTAAATCTCTGCAGGTTCATCTCTTCATGACCCCTTTCACATTTCATAGTCATTTGATCCTTTCTTAATATAAAAATATTGATTATAGCAGCTTTAATCTCACATTTTCTTGTTTTTCCTTGATTTTATAACTTTAGTAGTTTGCTGTGCCTTTTTTCTTTTCTTTCGCCTGTAAAGCACTTTGCAATTTATTTTTTGTTGTTTTTAACGTCATATTATGCCAACAGATTTTTCTGGTTGGAATAAACCACCTGAGATAACAGAAAAAGAAGAAAGTATGTTTGTAATTAGGAAAAGGTCAGGTTTAAGAGTCCTCTAAAAGCATGTGGAAAGTCACCCGGAATTAAGGTAATTACTTTTAGCTTCAAACTTAATGCAACAATAGGCTCAGACTTCTCTGCTGGCAACTTAATACCAAATTAGAAGTGTACTTCAAAAGCGTCAAAAAATGTCACGGGGTTTTCGGTGTTTGAAAGAGATCTGTATTTGGAACATAACTTCCTGTTCCCAAACAGGACTGACGGCTACACAGTGAAGTCTGCAACAAGGCTGGTAATCTATAGTACCAGGCCCGTCAGCAGAACTGAGCCGAGGGTTAGTAGGCCACTGACGGGCATGAAAAGGAAACAGTGTGCGGAATATACTGTAGTACCGAGTATGTTTTGAAATTCTGCAGAGTGACTTGGGTAGAGGGAGGAAGGGGGGCAGCCTGACATTCAGGCAACATTATATCTCCAGTGCTGTCTAAAGAAGGAAAGAGTGATGGGTCACGATATAAAAAGATAGAAAAATATGAGAGGCATGAAGAGTCTGGCCTCTCCCGCTTTCTTTTTCCACTAGATGAAACGGGCTCTGTACATCTGTCTCATCTTCCTTTTTTTTGGTTGCCCCTGAAAAAGGCCCAACTGAACCCTCTCTCTCTCTCCCTTTCTATATCCTTGCCTCTCTCCCGCTATCTCTGTCTTTCCCTCTCTCTCTGTTCCTCTCCCTGGTTAGCTCTGACACACTGGTCAGCCTCAGGGTGGAAGAACAGAGGGACTCTGCTATGGGTTTGTTAGAGGAGCTGGAAAAGAAGGAGAAAGGAGAAACGAGGAGGGGAGAGAGAGTGGAGGGAAGGAGGAGGAGAGGAGGGGGAATGTTGGCCAGAAAGAGGGAAAAAAGAACCTGTCCATCCAAAGAGAACAGTGGCCGATAATTCTTCTGATTTAGCTGAATCTCTTGTCTAATTTCTGATTTAGTCATAAAGAATAATGGATGATTCACCTCTCTGTTGTCATTTAAAAAAAACATTTTTTGTTTTTTACCGTCCATATAATATTCGGCACCAGAAAGGTGAAGAAAAAAACGATCCATCCTGCATAATCCAACACAGAATTCCAACTTTTTTTGCACAAATGAATACGAATGGTTCTCCCATAAGTAATAAAATATGTTTGCATGAAAATCTTGAAGCCAAAATGTCTTTTTTTAACTTTAAGGTCCCCCAAAACTTAAACAATTAGTTTTCCTTGT